TGATGTTCAACTTCAATCCGAACTTCGTCAGCGTTCCAACATTCAACGTTGCTACGCGGACCTTTTCCATGTTGCATGACTTTTGAACTAGCCTGGTTGCCCCCCGATGCCGTCCTTGCATCAGGGACCCTCGCATACTTTCCACACTCGCCGGGCCATACGAGTGCGCGTCGGCTCCCGCGGACGCCGTAGCATTGATTCGGAATTCACATGGCATATTGAACATTGGTGACTTGGGTGTTCGTAGGCCGGCCCGTCACGAAGGCCTGTCACCTGCTTCGGAATGTCCGCGTTCGGCTCAGCCCGCATGAGCGGGCAGTTTCCAGTGGCACCACGTGGAGGAGCGGACTTCACCACCGCTCAAGAGAAAGTACGGCAACAGAAAATTCACATTGGCTCTTGGAATAACGGCTACTACCCGAAATAAATAGTAGAAGCAAATTACATGACATGCTGCAAGTCATCACTCAACTGGTGACACAGGGTGTCTGGAACGGTAGGGTTTTGATGGGTTGGTTTACGGAAGGGTGAATCCAGAGTTGGGATGCCATTTCGAGATAGCTGGATTGGAAGCAATGGCACGATAAATCAACTAGGCCCACAGGGTCGATACGCCTAGGACGAAAAAAATATTGTGCCACTGCACCCCTTGAAAGACGCTGCGTAGCGCCTTTCCCAACCGCTAAAGCGCTTGACCAATTGATAACTCGCCGACCCATACGGCCACCACAACTGCCGCCCACCAACGGGCGCGCAGTAACAACGAGGCTCATGCTCTTTTCGCTTTATTAGTGAGTACCATTGATATGAAGAGTTTTTACATGGACATATGAAGTATTATCTAACTGCAGAAACAAACTCTCATTCCAGGCCTGACAAAGGTGCTAACCATAAGCACTACAATATGGCAAGATGAATAATTTAGAGACTTTTGTAGTTTTAGCTTTTTGGAATAATGCGAGACAGACAATACTTAGATATCTATTCATGTGAAAAATTACGTACGTTTTCATATTTTCCTATTCAAGACGTCCTTCGAACTTTTGTGCATGGTGATCTCTGGGCGGCGAACATTCTCTGGAGAGGCAACAATCTGGCAGCAATAGTCGACTGGGCTGGGTGTCATGTTGGGTCATTGGTGAGTTTCTGCTTCTTCAATCTGAATGAAACTGTTTCATTATTTACAGATGTTTAGTATCTAGTGGGATTAAACAATTGGGTTATTTGCTATAGAATGATAGGATTGAATGCTAGCTTGCGGGCGCTGTCGGACGGGTGAGTACCGGGCGGAGACTCACAACCATTGTACCTTCTCCATGCATCCCGACTGATTAGTGCGACAAAACACACGGTCAAAAGAGACGGTCAAGACAATAGTAGCTTGGCGCTCCGTCTTACGCGGCAACACAATTTCTCGCGATTTCTAACTAGGGAAGGTCGTCAGGTCGAAGTGTAATGAGATGTAGCTCACTAGACGTGGTTTTGGACGCTGATCTCGAATCTGCCTTCGAAATTTGCAGAACGATTCTCTGAAAGGAATTATGAAGGTTTGTTAGAATTAAAACGAAGGAAAACGAAGTCGAGCGCGGTTACTAGCCTATTCGCATGAATAGCCGACAAGCACCCATTCAGCATGATGTAGTGGTAATGGTCTTGCTTCGCAAGCATGCCATGAAGGGTTCAAGTATCTGGAAAGGATTTTTTTTGCATTTTGTGGGGAATGTCTCTTTTAAGTCTAGAAAACACTCAAACGCCAAATGGGTGCCATATTCGTGTTCAGGGAGCAAAACTACCCTTGGGGACAGGTTTCTAGCCAGATGTGAGGTTTTGACCTAACTTTGAAAAGTGCGGTAGCAGTTGATCGAATGATGGTCACCAATAGTTCCAGGGCCAGTCTCTTGTTGATTGCTTGTCTTTGGACGGGAGTTACTGCTCCAGTTTTCCTGCTTTTGGATACAGGAAAACTGGAGCAGTAACAACATGAATGCGTAAGAAGTGGCAAGACGAGGCTTTGTGCAGGAGAATGTATCTGCAGCTGAATAGGTGTGAACATCAACTAACCCATGGATGCTTCACTTTTCGAAGTCAGGTCAAAATGCCAGATTTGGCTAGAAACCTCTACCTAGGCGTAGTTCGCCCCGATAAACACGAATATGGCACTCGCTCAGCGCGAAAACGCCTGCACTGCGCGCCAAGGGCACCTGTACATCTCCTAGATCATAAGGCACTAAGCGCGCCAGTAAGCGAACGCAAACTGTTTTTCAGGCAAGTCAAGGAGAGCGCTAATGTAGTAGTGACGCCACAACCACTTTTTGCCACGTTTGCGCAAGAAGCAAAAAA